CTCAGCCTCCCAAGTAGCTAGGACTACAGGTGCTCGCCACCACACCTGGCTAATTTTTGTATTTTTAGTAGAGACAAGGTTTCGCCATGTTGACCAGGCTGCTCTTAAACTCCTGACCTCAAGTGGTTTACCTGCCTCGGCTTCCCAAAGTGCTGGGATTACAGGTATGAGCCACCGTGCCCAACCAGCCCTTTTCTCTTTCTCCTCCCCTTCTAGAACACAGATGCCACAAAAGTGAGACTGTTTTGTTATCCCATGGGTCCTTGATGTTCCGTTCTTTTTTGTCAGTTTGTCTTCTCTCTGTTGTTCCTGTTGTTGTCTTCCATTCACTGCTTCTTTCCTCTGTCCCTTTCGTCCTGCTGTTGAGCCCACCCACTTTTTATGTGGGTTTTTTTTTCAGTTTTGAAATTTTTATTTGTTTTTACTTTATGTCTTTTTTCCTGTGGCTTCCTTTTTCTTTGTGGATGCTTTCCCTTTTTCCATTAGCTTCAGCTGTTCTTGTAATTGCTTGTTGAAGCATTTTTTTGAGGGCTCCTTTAAAATCTTTGTTGGATATTTTGGACATTTCCGTCATCTGGAACCATCATCCGTTAATGGTCTTTTTTCATTTAGCTTGAGATCTTCCTGTGTTTTTGGTATTACGAGTCATTTCTGATTGAAAACAGGGCATTTGCACATTAGGTTATGAGACTGGGTCTTGTTTAAACCTTCTCTTTCAGTTGGCCTTCTTTGACATTTCTCTGGCTGGGGAAGTTGGGGATGTTACCTCATTACTGCCAGGTGGAGGTAGAAGTGTCAGCTCCCCACCAGGTCTCTGTTGACACCTGAGGGGCCTAGTCAGCCCTGGGCAGAAGTGGCATCCCCTCTCCTTATCTGTTTCTGCCAGCACAGTGCTGGTTTGTTCTTGGTGTGGTGAGAGTCTTCACCCTCCACTAGACCTCTTTTGACAGCACATCAGCTGGAGAAAGAAGGGGAACCTCTTTCTTGCTGGGTAGTGGCAGGATGCAGGCTCCCAGTGTGGTCTGCACTGCCTTAGTGGCAGCGGGTTGGGTGGGGATGAAGCGTCAGCTCCCTATTTGGCCTTCTCTGAAGCTCCTAAGCAGAGGTATTGGGGTCCTTCTTACAGTCTTTCAAGAATGGACTTTAGGACTCCTTCTTCAGCCTTTGATGATGTTAATGGGGTTAGGGCGTCAGTTTTTCTGTGGTATTTGGCTGGAATAGAGCAGTTATTGTCTAAGTGTTTTCTCTCTTACTGGGCTGCCCCTTTTCTAGTCCTTTGGCCAGAGAAAGCAGGCTTTTGTCTCTTCTCTTTTGATCTGCGAATACAGGCATTTCTGGGTTGCTGGTTCCTCAGTTTCATGCCATGGATATAGGAAGGGAAAAGAAAACCCAGGGAACCCACCACCACATTTTCCCTTGGGAAACATTTGTTTTTTAGAAAATGACCTGGGCTTTTAGCAGTGCTTTGTGGGAGGATTAAGGGAAAGGATGTTTACTCCATCTTACTGGAAGCAGAAGTCTTCTAAGCTATTTTTAACTGGTTAAGACTTCATGTATTTAACGGTCTTGTCTAGTAAAATTTCTACTATATGGTATTGGGTTAAAATAATGTATTTCATAGCTAAACTAACATAAGATCAATAATTATTTTCTAAAGGACAACAGATGAGGATGACTTTGCCTGATATAAGAGGGTAAACCTTTTAAATTTAGTTCTGCGTTCTGTGCCTAGGTTGGGGCAAACACCATGGATAATCCTTTGTTGAAGTACAGTGCAAAGGATTACTTCTTCAAAGCTGCCCTCTGCCACTTCATAGTAGACGAGTTGAATGCCAAGGTAAGGAGTCCTTCAGCACTGATTGACTGATTTCATCCTTAAGAACACGTACACGTTCTCTCTTGTTCTTGGAGTCGTTTCACTGCAATGTTAGTACCAAGAATAAACTGGGTACATTAAAAATAATAGGTATTTTTCTGTGGTATGTGTCCCAGTTGTAATCTTTTAACAGCTGTCAAAGCTGTTCTCAAAAGTTCCCTGATAATTTATAGCCATACCACCCTGAACACACCCAATCTCGTCTGATCTCGGAAGCTAAGCAGTGTAGAGCCTGGTACTTGAATGGGGGGCACTGCCTGGGAATACTTAGTGCTATAGGCTTAAATATATGTCTATATTCACTGGTAGCCACAGTTTTGTTTTTGTTTTTGTTTTTTAGTAGTTTTGCTTTAAAGAAATTACAGGGCCGGGCGTGGTGACTCACGTCTGTAAACCCTGCATTTTGGGAGGCCAAGTGGGGTGGATCACCTGAGGTCAGGAGTTCGAGACCAGTCTGGCCAACATGGTGAAACCCTGTTTCTACTAAAAATACAAAAAAAATTAGCCAGTTGTGATGGCAGGTGTCTCTAAGAGCTACTTGAGAGGCTGAGGCAGGAGCATCACTTGAACCTGGGAGGCAGAGGTTGCAGTGAGCTGAGATCGCACCTCTGCACTCCAGCCTAGGTGACAGAGTAAGACTCTGTCTAAAAAAAAAAAAAAGAAATAAGGAACTAAAGGGGAGGAGGAGACGATAAGAGTAGGATAATATCCATTTAAAAAACAACCAAAAAAACAGGCAAGCTCGGAAACGGTGTTGGAGTGAGGACTGGGAAGCAATTGGAAAGCACAGTGAGCACTGGGAGCCAAGAGGCAAAAAGGCAGGCAGCCTTGGCGTGGCCGGTGTCTGGAGTGGGAAGAGCAAAATTAAAGCCACTAAGAGAATGTTCTTTCTGTCAGCTTTGAGCAGGAAGCTAAATGTAATTTATTTGGAATCTGTACTGTATTAAGAGCTTCTCCATTTAATGGATGGCACAGATACCTGGTCTGTGAGTGTTTACGAATTCATTTTCATTTACACTGTCTTCTCGGCAGCAGCATGACTCAGAAAAAAATGGTTTAGAAATTATTCTTAATTGAAATGGAAAATTCAGAATAGGCAGATTGTCTATGTTGATTCTGCTGTTGAGTTTAACTGCATACTTCTTCAACACTTAATAGGATATAGGTAGATCTTATTTGAAGCTGGTAAAATGTCGAAAGCTTTGTTTAGTAAGTCTGAAATTGATGAGTGGTTTTTCTCTCTCAGCTTGCTCTTGAGAAATATGAGGAAATGTTTCCAGCGTTTACTGATTCAAGAGAATGTAAATTATTGAAAGTAAGTAATACTAGAACTTTGAAGAAAAATGCTTTTGTTCTGTCAGGTGACAACACCTAAGTGGGGTTGGGTATGAAGTGAAGTTTTAATCTATAAAGTCTGCTAACTGAGGGGCCCTGGTACTTTCCTGCTTTAGCATTATAGGTGTTCAAATGCAATTAAGGTCAGAAACATGTAGTTGTATTCTGAAATAGGCACCTCAGAAATGTTAGTACAAAAACTAGATCCCTAACTTGAATCTTGACTTGTATTTGAGTATTTCCGCAATTGTGTGCAATATTTGGCAACACTGGTATTATACTTAAAGTATATATTTAGAAATGGGACTTCATCTTACGGAACTATTTTTTAAAATATTTTTGTGCTACCAGAAACTCCTAGAAGCTCATGAAGAACAAAACAGTGAAGCTTACACTGAAGCAGTAAGTTATGCTTTTGGGACATGTTACATTATTTGAAGATTTAAGTTAAACTTCTTTTCCTTTTCATTATGTAAAATCTAAACATTTATTTGAACATGACTCCAGCATACCTTGAGTTGTATTTTTCAAAGGTCATCTTTTATATATCACACAAATTAAACAGTTCTATTAGCCATGCTGAGATTTGACTTATATTCAAAAGTAATTTAGCTGTAAGACTAGTTCAGGAGCAAAGATTCCATTTATATTCTTATAATTTGCTCTTTTAACTTTTTCTTTTGAAAATAATCTGACCCATAAATAAGTGTAAAGTAAAATTAGTTAAGGCCAGGCACAGCATCTCAGACCTGTAATCCTAGCACTTTGGGATGCCAAGGCAGGCAGATCATGAGTCAAGAAATCGAGACCATCCTGGCCAGCATGGTGAAACCCCATCTCTGCCAAAAATACAAAAATTAGCCGGGCGTGCTGGCACGTGCCTGTAGTCCCAGCTACTCAGGAGGCTGAGGCAGGAAAATCACTTGAACCTGGGAGGCGGAGGTTGCAGTGAGCTGAGATTGCGCCACTGCACTCCAGCCTGGTGACAGAGTGAGACTCTGTCTCAAAAAAAAAAAAAAAAATTTACATTAAATATAATTTAAAATATTAAAACTAAGTAGTGAGAATTTGCTGTATTCGTGGCATGAAATAAATGGAAGGTGGCCAGGCATGGTGGCTCACGTCTATAATCCTAGCACTTTGGGAGGCCGAGGCGGGTGGATCACCTGAGCTCAGGAGTTTGAGACCAGCCTGGCCAACATGGTGAAACTCCATCTCTATTAAAAATACAAAAATTAGCTAGGCATGGTGGAGTGTGCCTGTAATCCCAGCTACTTAGGAGGCTGAGGCAGGAGCCTCAGAACCTAGTGGGCAGAGGTTGCGGTGAGTCAAGATCACGCCGTTGCATTCCAACCTGGGCAACAAGAGTGAAACTCCATCTCAAAAATAAATAAATAAGTAAAAAATAAAAATATATATATTTTTAAAATGAGGGTTTTTTCCTTTATAATTTTTGTCTTTCCATCTTTTGCCATGTCATGTTTAGAATTAAGCAAAAAAAAATTTTTTTAATATATTTTGAAACAGAGCCTCACTCTGTCACTCAGGCTGGAGTGCAGTGATGTGATCATGGCTCACTGCAGCCTCAACCTCCTGAGTTCAGGTGATCCTCCCACCTCAGACTCCTGAGTAGCTGGGACTATAGGTACGCACCACCACACCCACCTAATTTGTGTGTGTGTGTGTGTGTTTTTTTTTGAGACAAGTTTTCACCATGTTGCCTAGGCTGGTCTCTTAACTCCTGGGCGTAAGCTATCCACATGCCTTGGCCTCCCAAAGTTGAAGGATCACACCCAACCTCAAGCAAATTTCTCAGTAGCCTCCTGTAACATGTTCATCACAACTCAGGAGTGATAGTGGAAAGGAATGTTTTCCTGTCGAACTTTTGCCTGCCACATCATTTTCATCCTATTGTAATTTTTTTCTTTGATAATACATTGAAATGTGTTAAAGGAATTCCGCTTCCATACATATTCTAACTCTGCAATTAATGTTTTCCCATGTTCAGTGAGTAATTTTCCATATTACTTTCACATTTTTATGCAATGTCCAGTTTCTTTTGCCACAATAATTATGACTGTTAATGAATTTTCTTTTTACACATGTTTGAAAACAGAGAAATGTCAAGCCCAGGAACTAGTCACTAGTATCATCAAAATAGTAACAGGATAATGAAAAAATAAACAATTTTTTAGTGAAGAAAGTTATAAACCGGAATGATTAATTTCAAATAACGAAGAAAGTTAGTAGATTATAGCTGTAAATGTATAAACAGCTTGGGGTACTATTATTTTGTGTTTTTAATGTATTTACATGGGGTAATTCCTGCTCCTCTTTCTTTATACTAGGTGAAGGAATTTGACTCAATATCTCGTTTGGATCAGTGGCTGACCACCATGTTACTTCGCATCAAAAAGTCCATCCAAGGGGATGGAGAAGGAGATGGAGACCTAAAATGAAATGTTTTTGTCTTTGTGGCATGCAGCTAACTCCTCTTTAGTTTTGTCTTAGGGTCAAGTGATCTTTATGGGATGCCCATTTAATGGCTTAATTTTGTTGCATATGAGCCAGACAGCCTGAGTATTGTTTAAGCTTCCCGAGTCTGTGTTGCTGTGAAATGGATGAAGGAGAGGCTCCTGTTCATCTTGTGGTAATGATGGGTTGTTTCATGCATATCAGAACCCCCAGCGTTTTCTGAGAAGTACTTCAGAATCTCATTCCTCATATTTCACTGGTATTTGTGGAGCCTATGTTTAATGTTGCCATGTGTTTTTATGTCCTTTTTGTTAGACTTGAGTACTCAGCCCAGTTGTTCTCATAGATGCTTTGCATTTTCTCTGTGCTTTGGCATCTGGATATGTTCTTTAAATGTGTGTTTAGTTTAGGACAGTTACTAGGAATGAGTTTATAACTTTATTAGAAATCACTTCTATTTTTGTTATCCTGTGATTATTTTGATGGTGCTAGTGACTAGTTTCTTTGCTTTTTGTGTTGTTCCATATGCTAACATGTGCATGGCAAAAATTTAGAATAGCCAGGGTCTGTAGGCATCACATTGTGAGGAAAGGAGCTTTCTGGAAGTACTTGTTTCATGTATGGATGAGTGTCAAAGTGAATTTGATTTGTACTTAGACACACACACACACACACACACACACACACACCCCACAAGATCTATTAGAAATGGAATTTTTCTCTTTTTCTGGAGATAGTTTTCACTTCTAGTTGGAGTGGAAATCCCTTTATATTTGCATTAAAGTATTTTAATTGGCACAGCCTGCTCGTTATTTTCATGTTTATACACTTTCCCACATTGAGGTGGTGTGTTCTGTGCTATGGCTATAGAAATCTTGGTCAGGGCTGGATAGATTAAGTCAAGCTTGAGAATGAATGTATGTAATTTTCCTGTTTATTGCACATGATGGGTTAGGTGGGGTAAATGTGGTACAGGAATGTACTGTATGCCCAAGTGGACAAGAACCCCAACTTGTTTCTCAGGGGACTTGATTGTTCTCTTAGCTGGTGGAATATTTTGGCTTATGTGTTTGAACTCTGTCATGTTTAATTGGTTTATATATGTATGCTATCTTGATTCATGAACTTGATTCTATTATTTTATATGCTGATATTTAGACATACTCTTGTCTCTTGAATGTCCTCTGCATATTTTATAGTTAAATGATTTATATTTGAAATGTGTTTGTTGCCATACTTAACCCAGCAGACACTCTGACATCATGGAGCTTCACTGATGACAGATAACGAAACTTTCTATGTTATGTCAGGTAGTAGTAAGTAGTATTGGAATGATGTTTTCATTTTTGATGGCTCTCAACTGGAATTGGTAGGATTTTATTGGGCTGAAGTACAGTGAGTGTTTCCAGGCCAAGGGTCAAGTGCAGGTTGTTTAAGAAATGATGAGTAGGTCAGTCTAGGGAGAAAGAGAAAGCAGCAGGAAAGGAAGTGGGAAGGGCCAGCCGAGGACAGATTGTAGAGGATCCACATCAGATGGCCACGAGGACTTGCAGGCTGTAGTTATGGTGGTGACATGCATGAGGTGGGCTGGTAGTGCAGGAAGCTCTGTGATGTCAGAGCATCCACTGGGGGTGGTGATGAAGATGCTCTGTCTGTGGGCCCTAGAATTTAATGTGGATTTCCTCCTTCCTTCCAAGTTCTGAGATTCTTAAATGAGAGCTGGCTGTCTCTAGAGGTAAGACCTGGAATGGAGTCCCAGTTGGTACTTTTTCACTCCCTCTTAGAATCTCTTATGAAAAAATGATCAGAAGGAAAAGTGGGGTTTTGTTTCCCTAGCTAATAATATATCCTACAACTAGCCAAATGCACTTTTGTGAAAATGGGGTGTGAGGAATGGTTCTGCAGCTTGAGCCCTCTGGTTTTAAGTAGTTTGTTTCTACTTGTTTAAAGAATCTTCTGGTCTGACCACTTAAAGTAAAAACCAAATGATTTATTTTAGGGCAATTATGTTTAGCTTTCATCATAATACTCCAACAGACCCCTGTTGGAAGGGGTATGTTTTTTTAACAATAGTGTTTGTAACATTTTCTTGTGTCAATTAGAGGGTCACTTGTTTGTATTGCAGTAAACACTGGGACCAGTTCTGGGGTTAATAATTAATTTTTGTTTTTAATATTTCACATAAAAAGAATCAAAGTAACTGTAATGGCTAGAAGATACCTGCCAGAAGATAAAAAAAAGAATGAGAGAAAAAGCCCAGTCAGTGGTGTGCAAACTTACTTCGTTTAAATGTCTCATGGATGTAGGACAGTGACTTGTTTCAAGATGCCTGTGAGCTAGGTCAAGATTTATAGAATGTTACTTATGAACAAAATATAATTGTTTATGGTAAATTCTTGTACTTTAGCAAATCTGGAGTTAGTTCATAGTCAAAGTCAATTAATATTTCTTACAGGAAACTTTTGCTTTTTGTGGCAACATTTTTATAGCTTGTGTGAGTTCCTTTTTTTATTTAATGATTTCAAAGCAGTATTTTTGCACAGTTGTGACCGTGTGTGGTGGCGTCACTGTAACCAAAGTATATGCACCAGCCCTTGTGCATTTATTGTTTCTCCTGATTTTGTGCATTTAAATGTCCAAATGCAACCTTTGTGACTTCCTCTGGAGGACTTGGCAGCACAGCATGCCCCCGTGACCTGCCTGCTGTGGTATGAGCTGTGACCAAGAGCAGGCTTCCTGCTCCATGGAGTCCTGAGTTGCTCTGGGATAGGGGATTACATTATGAAAACTAACCATGTGTAACAATAAATCTACCTTAGCAGAAAAAGTATGTTTGTTTTATTTTAATCTGTACAGTAAAGTGGAAATTATCAGTAATATTTTGACGAGTCTTCTTGCTAAATTGGCGTAGGTCAAAAGTAGCTTCCATTGTTTCAAGTTGTTCCCGTTAAGATTAAGGCAACAGACGTTAATACTCTCTAGGCTCCGGTCATTTGGTGGGAATTCCAGGGCACCGTAGTGGTTTTGCAGACTGAGGGTTTAGAAGGAAACCCTGGTTACTTCTGTTGATGCAGTCCACTGAAGTACATGATAACCCAGCAGACCCCACATTCTCATCCCTTTCTTGAATCCTTTAGGGTCTACAGTTACTTGCAAAGTTGAGGAAGGCATAGTTGCTGGAAGACTGGTGGGGAGGTGAGGCACCCCTAAGCCTGACACTCTCCTACCCCAAGAAAGTACCACTCAACTATCTGGTCAGTGTGGGCATTTATCTTAATTTTGCAAGTATCTGCAGGGGAGAGGGGATGCCCCTGGGGAAGGGTCAGTCCCACTGACCACTGGGGCCTGAAGTTCTGGTGAGGAAGAGGACCCATGGTGGGTAGTGCAGGCTGGCTTATCCTACCATCCTATCATAGAGCCTTGACTTCAGGTCCTAAAGTATATTCACAACACTTCAAGTAAGTCAAAGCAAATGTTTTAAATGGTAGAACAAGCTGTCCCCGTCTAGGTGTTCTGAGTTGTTGATCATTCAAAGCCTAAATCAAGTGGCTCTTCTCAGAATCAGTTTCCTAATGAAGATGCCACCATGGTAGTTTAAAAGCTTAGTTTTGTCAGCCTTAGTTAAGACTCCACATACAGATTGCCAAAGCTATGCAGATGATTTTCCAAGTCTCATTTAGGATGATGTGATAGATCGGGGTCCCCAACCCGTTAGAAACTGGGCCCCACGGCAAGAGGTGAGCTGCGGCCAGTGAAGCTTCATCTGTATTTGCAGCCATTCCGTGTGGCTCACATTACCACCTGAGCTCTGCATCCTGTCAGATCAGCAGCGGCATTAGAGTCTCATAGGAATGCGAACCCTATTGAACTGCGCATGCACGGGATCTAGGTTGTACGCTTTTTGTGAGAATCTAATGCCTAATGATCTGTCAGTGTCTCCCATCACCCCCAGATGGGACTGTCAGGTTGCAGGAAAACAGGCTCAGGGCTCCCACTGATTGTACGTTATGGTGCATTGTATAATTATTTCATTGTATATTACAATGCAATAATAATAAAGTGCACAATAAATGTAATGTGCTTGAATCATCCTGAAACCATTCTGTCCCCCCACCTGTGGAAAAATTGTTTTCCACAAAACTGGTCCCTGGTGCCAGAAAGGCTGGGGACTGCTGTGCTAGATGGTCCTCTGATCTGTGTGGCTCTCTCAGTGACATCAGATGAAGTATTGTTACTCTCGAGTACATGAATATCATGACGTTTGGTTAAATTAACAAGTACCCATCTTGTTTCCCAAAAATGAACTCCTTGGAGTGATAAGGTTTATTTAACAGGTTAAAAATTAAATTATACACTCAAATTTACTTGTTTGGATAATCACCTACAGCAAAATCACTTATCTGTAAAAATCACCTTAAATGTCTCCACCACACGGCCAATTTTTTCCAAATGACAACAAAGAATTTGGTAAAACCAAAGGCTGCACATCCCTTTGAAGTTTGGGCTACAGTATTTCACAGAAAATGGTTGGAAAATGGTTGAAGTAAGCTCCTAATGGCCCTTCTTGAGGCTCTGGGAGAGGCAGTGTGCCAGTACCTGGGCACTTTCCTCATTACACACTTGGGACCAATCCACTCAGAGGGTGGCCTCGCTTCCACTCAGCATGGCTGTGCTTGGACTTGGAGGAATGGGGCAGATGCTCTAGGAGGTCCTCTGTAACCAGTTTCCTACAGGGTTAGGTTTCTCTGTTCTCAGAGACAGAGAAATGTATATAGAAGTTATATCTTTGATGCCTACTTTTTACATTGAAAAAAGTGGCAGAGAACTTAACCACACTTACACATACCCCAGCCTGGTTGCGGCCTGCACATGAGCAGAGGTCAGGATTTCTCCTCTCCAGAATCCCACTGCCAGAGACCAGCTGGGATCCAGGCAGTTAAACAGCTTAATCCTAGGACTGTATGAAATAAAGGCTTATGGACCCTGATTTTACATTTCATTATTCATGTAATTAAGCAAATGATATGTTTCAATTAAGAATCCTATTTCTGCAGAACCTAAATTATAACAGAAATAGATCTTTAAAAAATTGCAAAACTACTTTTACAAAGCAGACATTTATTAACACCATTTTTTTTGTAGAATTTCTAAAGAAACAAATTCAAGACAAAAATCCCTCCAGTAGGTAACAAAATAATCTATTGTTTCAATTCCTTCTGATCAAGTGACTTTATTCCATAAAACAGTACATCAGCTGGGTAGGTTCGGTCTCCTCTGGATGTGTGACAGTCATTATTTATTTGTTCTGTAAACATAAGTAGGATACAGTGACATTGTCATAACTAAATTTGAAGTAAATTAGTATTGTGACCTCCAAGGGCAGGTGTGAAACATGTTATCAGCACCTGAAACACCTTGTAGTGGTTTCACTAACATAAGTTAAAACATAAGCACTTAGGAAGAAAGTCTTCCCTCATTAATTTCTGACATAGTGCAGCTACATCTTCATCCTGGAACTTACGGACAAAGTACCTTCCTCTTAGAAAATCAAAGTGTTTTCACAGCAAGTTTAATAAATTAAAAATGTAGAGAAAAAAGGAACTAGTGAACAAAAGAATTCTCCAAGGTTCCCTTTTTAAATTAGTATGTTTAAATGTTACATGTGAATCAAAGCATTTCACAAGCACATGGCACATACTCAAGGCCCTAGAACCAAATGTCAACGTTTAGCAAATACAGCAGAATTTGTCTTTTCATTGTGAATTTTTTAAAGCAATAATTAAGTCTTGCATGAAACAGCCAAAGGAGCATTTGAGACAAAGTTACTGGTTCTTCACAATCAACTCTTTAAGGCATAATCGGAGGTAAGTGTGCTGAGACTTTTGGTCCCTTCTGCTATGTTCTCATATGCTCCCAAGGAAACAGACATGTCAGTTACTTGCCTGTTTCCATCTCTAGGTGTGGAAATGAGAAGTCTGGGTTTCTGGAAATTACAGAAATCAAGTCAGAAAAACCTGGCAAAAATATTAATACTCTGTTCTACAATTTGCCACAGTCACCTCATTTTGCAAATAAAATGACTACACAACTTTCAAGTACTCTAAAGCATCTTAATTTTTCATGCCTCTGCAAAAAAATACTATATTGTTTTGCTAGACTCTTTGGTAGGACAGCTTTTACCTAATCTGATTTTTTTAAGACTGAAACTGAACAGCCTCATCTCATTTCTAATGAGATTTTAGACAAACTCATTTGATTTTATGACAAACTTCCTAGCTGCATATGTGCTGAGATTACGCAAGCAGTTTTGCAGGTGTTCAATCTGTCATACCTTGTTTACTGCCTACAAATAGGGGGTGGGGAGGAA